CCACAGTCTAGTCCAGAACCAGAACTCGGTGTCAGAGCCACAGTCTAAGTGTGTTTTTTCTCTGCAGCTTTCATCAAGGAGAGAAAAATGGGTCTGAATGATTTCATCCAGAAGCTGGTGTCCACGCCGCACATCTGCCAACAGTGAGTACAGTTTTTTCAGCTGCAGGAGGAGCAGGTTTTATGAGGGACCAGCGGTCCATTCATGATCTGTGACGCTGCAGGACCTCAGGGTAATCTGCTCCCTGAGGAGCAAGAATAGTTAATCACCTCCTGACTAATCCCTCATGTTCCCTGCGGCACCATAAACCTCGAATCCAATTAATCCACCCTGCATCGGGTGGTTCTGACCCACTCCATGTCCGGTGCTGTGGAAAATCACAGACACATCTGTACCCCCAGATGTTGCCATGAGGAGGGGCTCACAGCTGATGATCTGAGAGTTCACCTGTCTGAGGTCTCAGAGGGGGGTCAGATCTCAGCTCTCAGACTAAACTCATCCAGTCTAAGATCCAGAGTCACTGGATCAGAACATAAAAGAGGCGCCGCGATGGATCAGTGGTTAGCACTGTTGCCACACAGCAAAATGTCCTGGGTCAAGTCCCAGTTTGGAACTGGGGTCTGTGTGACCAGAGAGGATGAATAAATGAATAAAGAGGAAGTGACTGTGACTTGTTTTCCTTCAGCGTTGAAGTGAACAACTTCCTGAAGGTCGATGAGAACCAGAACGAGGAGGATGAAGATGGAGGTCCGGTAAGATCTTCCTCCTTTTTCACTTGTCCTTAAATCTGTCACTGGATCCTAAATGTTTCATGAATGATCCTGCAGATGTGCCTGAACCCGCGCAGCTCGCTGGCTGACGACCTCCAGTGAGTATTCTTCATCTTCTTCTTCATCTGCATCTTCTTCATCTTCATCTTAGGTTGAAGGATTTCAAAGTTTGTAAAAATATTTTTCTGCCTCAGGATCAAACCGTGTGACTTCGACTACCTGAAAATCATCGGGAAAGGCAGCTTTGGAAAGGTGAACCACCTGTCTGTGTGACTGAACCACCTGTCTGAGGGGCTGAATCACCTGTCTGAGGGGCTGAACCACCTGTCTGAGGGGCTGAACCACCTGTCTGAGGGGCTGAACCACCTGTCTGTGTGACTGAACCACCTGTCTGTGTGACTGAACCACCTGTCTGTGTGACTGAACCACCTGCCTGTGTGACTGAACCACTTGTCTGTGGGGCTGAACCACCTGTCTGAGGGGCTGAACCACCTGTCTGAGGGGC